AAGGCGCTCAGGTCCATCATCCGCACCGCGCTGCTCTGCACCAGCGCCTCGCCCGCCGCTGCCTCGGCCACCGCCTCGGCCGCCGCACCCCCGTCCTTGTCCACCCCAGGCACCGACACCTCGTACACCTCCTGCTCCTCGTCCTCCTCCACCTTCTCGAACTTCACCTTGGGCACCAGGCGCACGGGCGGCCGCGTCTTCCGCCGCGTGTGCTTCTCGAAGGCGGCCTCCACCTCCAGCACCTCCTCCTCCACCGGCTCCTCCAGCGCGCGCCCGTTGCACGCCAGCTGGTAGATGTCAGGGCCCGGTGGCCCGGGGTCCCCCGTGGTGGTCCCGGACAGCTCGGGTCCCAGGTCAGGGTAGAAGGCCTCGGCGCTTATGGTTGCCCCGAAGAGCTCATTCTCGGAGACCAGACCCAGGACGGCAGCCTGAGCCAGCGAGAGCACCACCACCGCGTCGGTCTGTGTCCCTGAGTCCTTGAAGCGCTCCATCCCGCGGCGGCGCCTAGGAGGGCATCGCTGTGGGGAGAGCAGGGGACACTGGTTACTGCCGCCAGGCCACGTCCCGAATCCCGGCCACTCAGGAGGCTGAGACCTGAGATGCCAAGCCAGCCCAGGCAGATAAACCAGAGACTCTGAAATCTCCAATGAACCAGCAAAAAGCTGCAAGTGGAACCATGGCTCGGAGGGTGGAGGACCAGCCTTGAGTGAAAACGCCACGAGAGCTCAGAAGGCTGTGACTTCAAACCCCTTCTGTACCAGCACAGAAAGAAGGAAAGAGGGAAGGGAAGAGAGGGACGAGAGGAGGGGAGGGGAGGGAAGTTCTATATAGCATGGACAGGACTGGCTATGCTGACCTGAGGTCTTTCTTTCCTGCCAGGAGAGCCGGACACGAGTGTAATTACAGAGCTAACGGTATCTACCCATCTCCCTGTGGGATCCTGGATAAGCCCCGCCCCACTGGCCTGTCTTCCCACATGTCGTTGGGGAGGTTGTACTTCCATGATTTGCCAACTGTACCCTGTAAGTCCTTCCAGAAGTCTTCAGAAACTGAACTCAGAAATGCAAAAACTGTCCAGTGCCAGTGGCTCATGCCTGTCATCCTAGCTACTCAGGAGGCTGAGATCTGAGGATCGCAATTCAAAGCCAGACCAGGCAGCCAAGTCCATGAGACTCTGATCTCCAATGAACCACCAGAAAACAGGAAGTGGCACTGTGGCTCAAGGGGTAGAGCGCTGGCATTGAGCGGAAGAGCTGAGGGACAGCGCCCAGGCCCAGAGTTCAAGCCCCATGACTGACAAAAAAAATAAATAAAAATAAAAAAATCAAAAACAATGCCACTATGTGAAGAACCGGTCAAAAGCAGCATCAACTCAAACGTGACACAGACCACGTTCAACCCTGAGCGGCCCTGCTGGCTCTGCCACCGGGGTAATTAATTTTACACAGCCCTCTAGACGACTGTGAGGTGTTAAACAACTGTCACCATTTGCGATAGCTCTGGCTGGAGAATGGCTTTTTATATATAGGATAAAAACAAGTCAACATACAAAAATAAATCTGGTCTCCAACATCGGCTGCCACCTCTTCAGCTCTGGTGCAAAACGCCTGTCTGTGGAGAGGACCGTTGCTTTTCTCGATTAAGGAAACATTACATAGTTAAGTATCTAAATTCGGCTGGGCGCCAGTAGTTTATACCTATACTCCTACCTACTCAGGAGGCCGAGGTCTAAGGATGATGGTTCGAAGCTAGCCAGGCCAGAAAAGTCCTTGAGCATCTTGAACCCAGGGCTTCATGCTCACTAGGCAAGCACTTTATCACTAAGCCACATTCCCAGCCCTCCTTGAGACACTAATCTCGAATTAGCTACCAAAAAAGCCGGAAATCGAGCCAAGCCTCAAGTAATGGAACACCAGCTCCAAGAATGGCACCCAAGGGGGAACACACACACACACACACACACACACACACACACACTCTTGCTGATTAAAAATAGGAAGTGGCGCTGTGGCTCAAGTGGTAGAGCACTAGCCTTGAGCTTAAGAGCTGAGCCCAGGCCCAGAGAGTTCAAACCCCACGACCAACCAAAACAAACAAAAAAAACCCCCTAACTTCCAGGTTCAAAGTCAGTCTCTCACCTAACCAGTTCCTGTACACGAAGCCAAGCCACCCACCTGTCCTGGCACTGCGTGTCCTCCCTTCCTGGGCGCCAGCAGGCCAGGCATGCACCTGCTCAGCCAGCCCTGTGCACCTGTGCATAGCATACAGCGCCCCCCCCCGCCCCAGGGTGCCAACCCCAGCTGAGCTGTTCCTTCCTGCGCCCACCAGGGCTTCCCGGGCCTATGGTGCACCTCGGCGTGCCCGGGGCTGCCCCAGCAGAGGGAGGGCAATGCATGCACACCAGGGGCTTCTCTCCCAGGGCTGGAGCCAGGCATGTGGGCAGCGGACAGCTCTTCCTCAGGAAACAGGCCCAGGCCCGGGGCTGCGGCCCCCCAGCGGAGCTTCCTCTTCCAGAGTCTATAAATACCCCAGACAGGAACTGTCTTGAGACAGACACTGGAGAGGCAGCGTGGCGGGACTGGGGTCCATCTGGAACGTGGGGGGGGGGGGGAGGGAGGAAGAGGGGTCGGAAGGGAAAGGGCAGGGGCTCAGGCCCTCTCCCCCAGCAGCTGCTGGAAAGGACAGCTAACCAGGAGCAGCTTGGCCTCAAGCCCTAAGCTGTCCCAGGTGGCTGTGCAGCCACTCTCCCGTGCCTCAGTTTCCCCTTCTAAATCTCCAGAGGGAAGATGTGATACTTGCAAGGTCAGCAGGTGATAGGATGCATTTCAAAACTCTAAGCGCGCTAAGCACGCACCGCCACCCCACTGAGGCTGAGGTTTGGAGGATCTGGGTGTTGAGTATACAGCGCGCGCGCGCACACACACACACACACACACACACACACACACACACCATGATGGTACACACACACACACAACAATGGTTTGTAGGATACAGAACTGAGAGATTTTTCTCAACCCCAGGCTCCAAGTTCAGGAAAACTCTGGTTATTCTGAGGGCCCTGCTAAGAACTGAGCGCTTTTTCCTTCATCTCTGCAAAAAGCATCGACAAAGCTCCGGCAGCGGGACGGGGGGGGGCGGGGGGGGCCGGGCTGCTTTGCCGACCCTCGGAGCCACGGAGGAGCCCACCGTGCCCAGCTGTGGCGGTGCCGGCAGGCAGCCACCCCGCTTTCTCAGCAGGCTAGGGGTGTCCCCGCCCCGCGCCCCGCTGCCTGGCACAGCACCCGGCTCCCCTGTCGCGTCCGCTGTGCTTTGAGCCAGCAATGCACTTGGCACTTTCTCCAGACTTCCCCCAGGCAGGACCTGCTGGTCTTGGCAAGGCGTACGCTAGGAAGTTGGCACTGTGTCTTAAGTTCAAATCCCAGTGGCTTATGGGTCACGTGGTGGCCTCAAGCCCGGTCCTCTGTGTTCCCCATTTCCCCCAGGGGTGGTGAGGAGATGGCCGGGAGGCCGGTGCCCGGCAGTAACAGGTGGTCAGGTGGGGAGAGGAGCCGTCTGGAGCACAGTGCCGCCCGCCCGCCCGCCCGCCCGCACCCCCAGGAGTAAGATGCAGTGGAGTGGCCCCGGCCCAATGCCCCTAGCCGACTTCGTGGCTCTGACTGGGCCTACTGGGCTCTCGGAGGCTCCTGGTCACTGGGGGCCAGCAGGAGCGGCCCTCCCCCTCCCCTCCCCCTCCCCCCGCCAGTGAGCCAGCCTCCTTCTCTCACACTGACCACCTGGGGGAGGGCAACGCGTGCGTCTGGGCCTGTAGTCTCCAAGCACGGAGGAGCGGCTGGGCAGCGCCCCCTAGCGGGCCTGCCTCACCAACACCAGCCTCTGGTTCACCCCTTCCCATGCCCAGAGCAGAGTGGCAGGGAAGCCCAGTGGGTGCAGCCCCCCCGCCCCCAGCGGCACCTGCCCCCCAAGAGCAAGGACACAGAACAAAAGCCCCCCCATGTCCTAAATAGAGGGATTCAGAGGGCTCCAGCCTCGGACGGGGCATCCACTAGACGCAGCGGGGCCTTCGGCAGCGCTAACCTGGTCTCCACACAGCACCCGAGAGAGCAAATGTCCAAGGCAGGGAGAAGAGACAGACAGACAGACAGACAGAGGGAAGGAGAAGCTGAATGTCGTTGTGCTGAGAGTTGGGGGAGGGAAGTCATGGAGAAGAGAGAGAGGAAGGAAGGAAAGAGAAAAAAGAAGGGGAGGGCGCACAGGAAGGAGAGCGTGGGGGAAGGGAAGAAATGAAGACACTAGGAAGGAGGGGTAGAGGAGGAGCCGCAGTGAGGGAGGAGGAGAGGAGAGGAGATAGGAGAGGAGAGGAGAGGAAAGGGAAAGGGGAAAGGAGGGAGAGAGGCAGGCTGTAGAGGCCAAGAAACAAAGCCCTGGAGGGGGAGGGGAGGGGCTGTGGCACTGGGAGGTGGGAACAGGGGCAGCCATTTCCCTCAGCTTGGCGTTGTCCCTGGGGAGGGAGGAACGCATGACCCCTGAGACCCAGCAGCCCCCTCCTCACCCCCCCAGCAACACCCCCCCCCACAAGCTGCAGTGCTCTGCTCCCAGCCCTGTGACCCTGTGGCCCTGTGCCGGTGACTCAGTTTCCTCGTCTGCACAGGGCCTGGGCCCTGTCACTCCTCCCTGGCCTGAGACCCCTCCCACTCCATTGTGGAGGGAGGCAGGGCAGGCCAGCGGGCTCAGGACATCGGGGCACAGATGCTGAGCCCCCACAAAAGTCCGATCTGATTTGGGATTGGAAGGGCAAGAGCCATGTTGGAGAAAGAACCAACCAGAACAACCTGATTATGTGCAGATATTCTCTGACAAACCCTTACCACCGAGAGCGGCATCTCAACAAACTAAAAGAACTGGGTATGGTGGTGCCCTCCTGTCATCCCAGCCCTGGGGAGGCTGAGGCAGGAGGAGTTAAAGAGGCCAGCCTGGTTTCCAAACACAAATCAATTAAGTGCTGGTGGTTCCCGGCTGAGATCTGAGGATCCCAGTTCGCTGCCAGCCCAGACTCATCTCCAATTAACTACCGAAAAGCCAGACACGGAAATGCGGCTCAAGTTGGTAGAGGTCCAGCTTTGAATGAAAAGAAGCTAAAGGACAGAGCCCAGGTCCCGAGTTCAAGCCCTAATACAAGCTCAAAAAAACAACCACCAAGAAATACACACACACTGACCCCAGACACAGGGGCTCGGGCTCAGGGCTCGGGTTCCTGCGACGGCGGCTTTGCTTCGGCTCCAGAGGACGCCCACTCCTGTGGCTGGCCTGAGCACTGACGGGGACTAGTTTGCCCTGGGCCTGTTCATCCGGTTCCTTCCTTTCCACTCCCGCAACTGAGTCTGATGCCAACGCCTTAATTGAGCGCCTACTAGGTGTCAGCTAGCGCACCCAGGGAAGCTCAAACCTGGGGCAGCTGGCCAACGGGGGCAGCAGCCTGCCTAGGCTGGGCAGTCCAGGCTATCCCAGCTGTGCGGCT